TAAAAAAAATTTTTAAAATTGTGTTTTTTTTAAAAAAAAAAAAAAAAAAAAAACTTGTTTCAAACTACCACAGCAACTAAGATGACTAGCAATGTGACCTTGGTTCAGACAAATAAATACCAAAAAAGCATCAGGTCTACTGTCATTATATAATTTACCCAATGTCATTCAAGCATCAAACGGCTATTTATACTGATTGGAAATAATGTTTTTTAACTTTCAAAAATAAAAATTTATAAAATTCAGCTTAAGGTCAGATATCAACCTTAAATCTAGCCATGCAACATCAATAGCACAATCTTCTAGCTGTCCTCTCAGCCCTAAGGTATAATACTTGAATGAATGACCTTATTTCAAGGGAAGTTCTTTTATACACTGACATGGATGTAATATATTTCATTATTTCTATCTTTCTGAGAATAATGAATTCTTGCAAACTGAGCCAATGGTTTTAGAAGTGCTGATGGCGCAGAATTCTTTGGCATGCAAGGATGAGGGACTCACTGTCACCTCATGTGCCATACCTGGTATGCACTGTGCTGTGGCTTCGGTGGTAATGGTTGGAGCGACAGCGGGTTGCTGCTGACTAGAGCTCACTTCTGGTTCGGTGTTAACTGAAGGAGAAAGAGCTACCTCACAGGAGGAGACTTGGCTGGGCAGATGGGACAGGAATTCTTCAGAAGCCACTTGATCATCTTGTCCAGGCAGCTGCAGGGCAGACAAAGGGATACTGATCTGTTTGTTAGGATGGGATGTGCTCACAGGCATCTGCATAGCCATCTGCTGGTTGGTGCCATGGGCACCAGGAGGTCCTCTGTTTGGTGAAGCCAGAGATACCCTGGCAGTCTTCTGGACAATTGGTCTGGAGATGACAGAGGGGGATGCAGAAAGACCATGTGGGTCCAGTTCTGTGCTGATGGCAGATGTTACATGAGGAATCAGCTTAGCAGACCCAACACAGGAGGGGCCAGCATGAGCCTGAGACTTGGGTTTTGCCATTTGTGTCAATGACAGGGCTGGTCCATCTACCCCTCCAGTAAGCTCTGCATTTGCCACAATGTAGTAATCTTCGGGAATCTCCTGTTTGATTTTCTTGATAATGACATCATTGCTGCATTCATCAACCATCTGCGCCTGGGAGCCTGAGTGGAGGGAAGACGGGACTATGCCAGGCCTTTTGCGAGTGATACTTTGAGGCCTTTGGGTTTGGGGTTCAAAGTCACTATCCTCATCTGTAACCGAAGACTCACAAACCATGTCGAAAAGAGTGTTTTCATCTTCATATTCCTCAACAGCCTCGTCCAGTTCAGAAGGCTCACTGCAATAAGAGAAGTCACAAGAGTCTCTGGTCCGGTTACAGTCTAGCTTTGCCTTCACAGGTCTCCCTGGGTACCTTTCGACAGGGCTAGTCTGTGTCTCAGAAGGCACCCCAATTATACTGGGACTATCGGAGTTAAAACTTCTGTTATCCTGGAAGCAGACCCTCTCTTGGGACCCAGCTCTGCAAGTAGCTGTTAGTGGCCAGTGGTAAGCATGGCCAGCACTGCAGCCCCACATTGCAGTCAGGTTCCCATGGGAACCTTCAGAAAGCAAGTGTTTCAGGTTTGGAATGAGGCTGCAAATGGTCCCATGGCTGTGGGCCCAGCTGACCAATTTGGACAGATTCTCAGATGAGGTATGAAGACAATCCTCCATGTTACAGGATCAGCAGTGTCTTTCCTAAAGGGAAATAATCAAAATAAGAAGTCATTATCACCCCCACACAGTCCCACATCACAATTATTTTAATTTCCTCCAACTACGCTTATTTGGCATAAAAAGAAAAAAAGGAATTTCCAAACTGCATCCTGTTAATATCAATGCATATGGGCAAGAATTGAAAGGGAACACAGGAAAAAGAAAGAATAGCTAGTGACTTGCAATTGAAGAATTTGGAGAAAAATTTTTGTTCATTTTCTTTTATCATTATAGTAATGCCTTCATAAGTAAAGAAAAGAGGGAAATAAAAAAGAAACGAGAAATAAAAAAGAGGTTAACTTTGTCATGGTACATTTCACTTCCAAAGTCAAAGAAATAGGGTCAGTCAGCCTCTTAATAATAAATGCATTGGGGCCGCAGGTGACCTGGTGGTAAGGGCACTGGACTCCCACATGGCTGACTGCAGTTTGAGTCCCAGACCTGGTGACTTGCTTTCTCATTTTCTTTCTCTTTCTCTCACTCTCACTCTCGTTCTGTCCCTCTCTGGTCAAATTTAAATAAATAGATAAATGAAGAGAAATTGTTAAAAATTATTTTTAAAAAAACACAATAAATGCATTGCTCATTTTAACAAAGAGGATGTACCTCCGATGTCCTCTTTGTCATCAGAAAATTCATTACTAAAGGCAGAGCGAACAGAGAGGTTTGGATCAGTTCTAAGATCCAATCCATTCCAGGATGGATGTCAGAGAACAGAAATCAATACTCTGCTGGGTATCAGAAAACAACATAACTGGGAGTCCACAGAAAGAATGAGCGGCTAATTCAGAAAGCGAGAAGAAAATCATTAGCAAAGAAGGGGGAACAGACTGGGAGGAGACCCAGTGGAAAGGCAGGCAGTAGACTAGAAGCAACAGTGGGTAGGCCTGATTTTAGCTCTTACCACTCTCAGGGGCAAGTTTCCCGCCTCCTGGCTATCTGAAATTCTTGACCTGCTGCCTTTCATCTCATGATTAAGAGTAGTCTTTTCCCTTTTCTGTGGTTCAACTTTCCACAGTTACAGTTGCCCATAGTTAACCAGATGAGAAAATATTAAATCCAGAGAGACAAAGAGAGATGGGGAGAGAGAAAGAGAGAAATCTTACCCCTTAGGGAGGATGGCTATGCCATGATCCCTTCTCCCCCATTCTCCTCTAAGGATTTTGGGCATGCTTGAGTTTCAAGCCACCAGGTCTGGGACTTAAACTGCAATCGGCCACGTGGGAGTCAGAGCTTTAACCACTATGCCACCTGCTGGCCTTTGGTTATCAGATTTTTTTTAAAAGGCAAATATAGGATTCAGTACTATGTGTGGTTTCTTTCTTTTTTTTTTTTTTTTTTTTTGAGAGATTTTCACTATAGGGCGCGTGCGCTCACCAGACAGACAGAGAGAGACATAGAGATAGAAAGCAAGAAATCACCCCCCAGGGGGTATGGCCACGCCACAATCCCTTCTCCTCCATTCTCCTCTCGGGATCTTGGGCACGCACGCACACGCGCCTGGCGTGAGTTTTAAGCCACCAGGTCGGGGACACGAACCACGGTCAACTACGTGGGAGTCCAGCAACATAGCCATTACACTAACTGCTGGTTCCCTATGTGTGGTTTCTGACATCTACCAAGGATCTTGGAATTATCCCCACAGATAAGGGAGAACAACTGTAGAAATAAAGGACGTATCTATCATGTGGGGTCCCATAAACCCAAGAATAACTACCTACCAAATAGAAGTCAGTCATGCATCACTTGACAGGGATACGGTCTGAAAATGTGTTGTTAGGGGACTTCATTACTGTGCAAACAGAATAGAGTGTACTTGCACAAACCTAGATAGTCCAGCCTACTGCACACCTAGGCTGTATGATACAGCCTTTAAGCTCCTATGGGTTCATCCCTGTACATGCAATCCATTGTTGATGAAAACACTGTGATGAGGCACATGACTATATATCATTCCTTACTGGGAAGGAGTCAGAAAGAATTGCTTGTCGGAGCCAGCAGATGGCACAGTAGTTAAGGTGCTGGACTCCCATGTAGTCAACTGTAGTTCAAGTCCCAGACCCAGTGCCTTAAAACTTATGCTGGACATTTATGCATGCATGCCCAAAATCTCAGGAGGAGAATGGAAAAGGGATTGCGGCAGGGCCATCCCTTGAACGGGTGATATTCCTCACTTTCCCTCTCTCCTCTCCAAACCTTTTAAAAAAAAAAAAAGAACCCGTTGTTATGAGGCCTTGGGTAAGAATGAGGACAACAGAACAGGTAGGAAAAGTACAAGGGGACACGCAGTCTGCAAATGAATGGAAAAATTAAGGCTCTGCCCAGAGGGAGATCCTGGGGAGTCTGGGTGGAAAGGCACAATGATCTTCATGTGTTTGGTCTGCCCTGGGCAGCTGCAGGAGTGGGTGACAAGAAGTACCTCACTGGAGGTGGGCTCTGCATTAAGGCTGCTGGTGCCTAACTGCAACGCCCCGTGGCCAGGCCAAAGTGCTCGTCTTGAGCCTCCACAGCTCCCCATCAGCAGGTGTAGCTTAAGTTTTTATTATTAAGGTCTCTGTGATGGCCACAGCCATCGCTCAAGCCTCATTCCTACTATCATGTCCTCTTCCCATACTTCGTGTGATCCCATCTTTTCTAACCACATTTTCTCACCTCCACTAGGCCTCTAAAACACATTCTTTGGCTTAATATGTATCCCTTCTCCTTCCTCACCTGGAAAGCCCCTTTGAGAATGAACATGGGGCCACCTCCTGTGGAAGTCTGTTCAGATCCCCTTTCTGCTTTGGAGTTTTGGTGGATGCCCTTCACTTATGCCACCATCATTTCTTGAGGAATGTGTCTCTGCTCTCCTTTGATCACTGACTTGCTTCTCTATCTCCAGACTTGGCTGAGGATTCCTTGAGTGAAGGGACTATGACTTAATCATTCACTCATGAGGATCTACTTGGGGGATATAGAAATTAACAAGACATGGTATGCTCCTGTAGGCTATTGTCTGGCATACGGTTTGTCTCAAATAAATGATAGAAGATTGAACAAATGAACACTGCCAGCACCATCAACACTAATACAGTGAACATATAAGACTCAAAAAAGAAACATGAAATTTCTTCTGATCTCTTTTATTGGAATCATTCAAGGGAATAGGGTGGTTTTTCATTTTTTTTTTCCTCTGATGATGTAAATAAAACACAGCTGTCTGTGCATGTAGGCGTGTAATAGATGAGTAACCACAGCTCAGATGCAGCCGCAGTAAATAAGAACAATGACCATCAAAGTTGCAACTCAAAATTCTAAACCTGGAATGGCTCTCTGCTGCCTCAAACAGTTGCTAATTACTTCTAAGCTTAAAATAACAGGACTATGTGATCTTAAATTTCCTTTATATTCTAACAATTTAGGGACTTATTTCATTTATATTTCTTTCATACAACTTTGGTTAAAGTAGAGAAACATAAAAAAGAAAGAAGGACTGATTTGTCTGTTTTTAGGGGTTTGTTGTTGTTGTTTGTTTGTTTTGAGAGTTTTCCTATAGGGTGTGTGCGCTCACTGTAGAGACAGGACTGAGAAACCGCTCCCCTGGGTGGATGGCCACACTGCAATCCCTTCTTCTCCATTCTCCTCAGACACGTGTACAATCAGGTCCGGGACAGAAACCACCAGAAACCACCATAGGACCGTCAGCTACATGGGAGTCCAACAATGTAACCATTTAGCCATCTGCTGGTCCCTGTTTTGAGCTTTTTAACTTAGCTATTTAATCGGTGTGGGCGGAGACTGCTACTTGCCTACTCGTCCATTCTTTTTATTCCTTAGAGTCCCAATTTGCTGGGGCAACAATGTGCTCAGTTAAAATATTTCCCAGCAGTCCCTGAAATAAGAGGCCACCCTATGACACAGTTCTGGCCAACAACACTGGGTGAGCTTCTGGGAAAGCCCCTGAAAACAGATTTGTCTTGGTCTTTGTAGTTGCCCTTCCTCTTTCTTACTGCCTAAAAAAGATAATGGCTAAAGCTCCAGGGGCCTCTTGGGATGGGAGGCTCAAGAAAGGAGAATTTAAGGATGGGAGAGAACAGCTAGAGGAACCTAGTAACATTGAGGAGCCACCATAATGGTCAACTCTAAACTGTCTACTCCAGGATTCCTTGTTATTCATAGTGGAAATATAGGCCCCCCCATCTTGTTCTAGATATTTGAACTATTGTTGTTTGTTACTTACCGCTAAACTCAATCGCTAATACACACAAAGTAATACACGTATCTCTGTTTTTTGACACCTCAGAGCAGAATTTTTCATTTTCTCTGCAGAATACTCCAGTACAATTGTTATTCAGATTGGACTCTACAAATAAATTCTTGTGAGGTCTTTAACTCTATGTCAAAATGTTTTACCTGTTTTCATTTTGATCATAACTACATAATTAACATAAGCATTTATGAATCATCTAATCACTTGTTTGCTTGTGTATTTATACTTATGTTAGGGCCTATAATCAACTAAACCAGTATTCCCTCAACTGCCTACGTTAGGAAATCTGTTTATGCGGTATTCTTTTCAGCAGATAAAACTTATCTTTTGCATTAATATTTTTCAAACAAAAGACATTATGGTCTGACATCTTGAAAATGGCTGGTTGGGACCAGCAGGTGGCATGGTGGTTAGGGCGCTGGACACTCTCATATGGCCGACCAGGGTTCGAGTCCTGAATCTGGTGGCTTGCTTTCTCACTTCCTCTCTCTCTCACTCTCACCCTCTGTCTCTCTCTGGTCAAACTAGTAATAATAATAATAATAAATGAATGAATGAATAAATAAATAATAAATAATTAAAAAAAGAAAATGGCTGATTCAGTAATATACCACTTTACGTGTTATAAGATAGTAAGAAAAGGAGTTGAAAATAAATTATCTACACTCACAGAAAATCATGTATGTTATGGTACAGTATTTTAATGACGATATTCCAACAGTTAAGTACATAAA